ACTACTGTGACATCCTAACTTACTGACCTTACCTGGTCTGGCCTACATGTGACTCCAAACCCACAGTGGCGTGGTTGACTCTTAATTGGCTCTGGGCTATTAGGGATGGACAATAGAAGCCAGCAATACCCATGAAATACCAAAATCTCTCAGTTACTTCTATGCAAAATAAAGTCAGAACAGTGCCATCTCCCTCATTACACTGATTCCCGAAGCTCACTATCTGCCTTGAGCTGCTCCTTTGTTTATCTAGTTTGGCCAGAGTCTTGTTGCTGTTATAACATCTCTGTTTACAACCTGACATGCTTTTACAGTTAGAACTTATATAGTTCTTTTATTACTGCTTATAGTTCTAGATTGTGGTAAGTGAATGATATCTATTACCTGGTTTCCTGCATTCCAGGGTAAAATCTGCTGCTGGATCCCAGCAACGCAAGCACAGTCCATGGAAGTATCAGTCTACAAAGTGACTGACAGAACAAGGTTTTAATAGTATTAACCTTGAGTACTGATATGTGGGGCTCAATCTCCAGTAACTAGAACAAATATGAAAGCAGGGAAACTGATTTTATTCCTTATGGAAATGCTGATTAACCTTGATTTGAAATAGGAGGAAAAAATTAAATAGGGCATGGGACACATGCTTGTTCTGCTTTTGGTAAACCTAAAAGTAGCTTCACTGTTTTGAAAATGGATCAAAATTTTTAATACTAAATCCCTTTAGTTGTAAAGGTCAGCCTACTGATATATGAAATGCTAGGATTGCTATTACTAAGGAAAATAGTAAATCCTATCTTCTAGATGTCAATAAATATGACAAAGGCTCTTCAGTTCTTAAATCTTTACTAAGTTCAGGCTGTCTTGGCTATTGTATTTCTCAATCCATTGGTCACCAAAATGGAACTCAAAGGATAAGAGGATGGAGTCTAAGAATGCATTAAAAGTTTGCTATTACCCTTCTTTCGCAACTATCATGATGGATGAGGAAATGCTATTTTTTGAACAGACCATTCTGTTTCTGCAAATCTAATTTCATGTAAAATCAAGAGCTAAGAAGGTAACACAGTTACAGTGGAAACTTTATGTCGTAGCTCCTTTTGACATTGCCTGTGGTATTTTAAACCAGGTCACCCTGCAGGAATCTACAATTACAAGAAGCTGCTATAGCTCCCTGCTATAGGAAAGATGTTGTGAAACTTAAAAAGGTGCAGAAAAGTTTTACAACAGTGTTGCTGGGGTTGGAGGGTTTAAGCTATCGGGAGAGGCTGATAGGCTGGGGCTATTTTCCCTGAAGCGTCGGAGGCTGAGGGGTGACATTATAGAGGTTTATAAAATCATGCGGGGCATAGATAAGGTGAATAGCAGCTAAGGTCTTTTTCCCCAGGGTAGGGGAATCCAAAACTAGAAGGAATAGGCTTAAGGTGAAAAATTTAAAAGGGACCTAACAGGCAATGTTTTCATGCAAAGGGTGGTGTGTGTATGGAATGAGCTGCCAGAGGAAGTAGTGGAGGCAGGTAAAATTACAACATTTAAAAAGCATCTGGATGGATACATGAATAGGAAGGGTTTAGAGGGATATGGGCCAAATGGACTAGATTAATTTAGGATAGTTGGCATGGATGAGTTGAACCAAAGAGTCCAGCATAGAAACAGACATTAAGTGCCAGTATTGTTTCCCAAAGCAGCAGGATGTGCTGGCTAGTCAAAGGTACAAATCTCACTTACGAAGCTGATAGAAATAGGGTCCAGAGAACCCTTGCTCCTAAGATTAGAAACAGCCAAGAACCTTTTTGATCTGGGTACACAGAAACCAAAGATTAGTAGCTAAAGCAATATAGAAAAAAAGCAGCGTACAGGTTCTTGCTGGAAGAATATTCATCTTTACAGACCTGTATTCAACTCCAAATGTAGGACAACATTTTGGGAAGTTTCCTGTTCAACCTTCCACAGTTCCCGGAGAGTTCGAGGAAACCACATGAACATATGAGTAGCCCCTGCCCAGCTACCTTTTCTAACTTGGAATTATCCTCTAGCTCTCTCTCCATACACTTTAGTAATAAGTGAAATACCTTTTAGTACCTGACTTAACTCTACTTGTATAATTTAATAAAATCTTGCACTTAAGTCCTCCTGTTCCTATTCATCCCAAAATACATTACAAAATCTATACTTTCCATTAATTTAAAACCGTAATTATATCCATTATTGGATGAATGAAAATTTATCTCGAACTGCTACCAACCTTGATAGCCAAGTGTCTTAAACCTATGTATCATTTTGGCTGCCCTAGTCTATATCTTTTCCAGAGTTTAAACACTGTCTAACATTTGTGGGGTCCCCAGAACTAGACACAATAATTCCCGTACATTTAATCTGATTACATAGCTCAGTCTTCCTAGCCCTCTTTAGATTGCGATCTTCATAACAGAACATAAACACTCCCCCGACATTTTTTTGTCTCTGTAAATCCACCGCAGTAAGAGATCAGGGCTCACCTCAATCGAAACGCAGTGAAGTGAGGAGGTGGTTGAAGTGCCAGCTGATAAACCTACTTTATTCCTGATGTCAGGTATTTACAAGATGAAAGTAACTTTGCTAAATTCCAAGTTAAAATTGCATACCCATTTTTTAATCACTGATTACAAAAGAGCAGTAACACAATGCCTGCTCTCCTCAAGACAGGTACAGCATTAACCTATTCTCTTCTTTGATCGGACTGCTCTGTGTTGCAATTCCATTAATCCCACATTGGTTCCAGATCCTTAATATCCCCAATTTACCTACCAATGGATTTCTTTAAATTTTGGTTCTACCTGGTCAATTGATCTCCAAAGTCTCAAATCTTTTGGGGACAGAGTTCCAGATTTCCACAATTGTTTATGCGAAGAAAAATTTCACACCCTTGATTTAACAGCTTCTGGTTTGGGAATGGGGTAATTGATTACTATAAAGGTGAAGCAGGAAGGGAATATGTGAAGAAGGACATGTGATTCAGATATGTATTCAGCTAAGGATACTCACAATATTTCACAATGATATGTTTGTCGGAGCCTGCTGACTAGGTAAACCAGGTGGGAACTGTGACAGCAAGTTTCCATTGTGTTGGCCAAACAGCAACACTTATAATGGCCACTTTCACAAAGACCATCTCTTGTGATAACGGAGGCAGCAAAAAGCAGTGTATGAAAAAGTTTGAATCTCCAAAGTAGCAAATGCTGATCAATAGCCCATTCAAAAAGTAAGCAAAGGAGTACCAACAATTGAAATTGGTTTGAAAAATATGATCAGAACATTAAAGCAGCCAGTTCAAGTGTTATGAAACTTGATCAGTTTCATAAGCGAGATTGTAGTACCGATAGCTCTTTACCTTGAAGCAGTACCCAATGTGATAGATGTTACAGGTGATATGCAGATTAAATACAATTTTTATCTTCGCATATTTTAACCCTGCCCCTCAACTATTTCATCTTCACCTGAGCGTCAACACTAGGCAACGTCCCGGAAATATCAGGGAGGTGAAGACTGCGGTACATGTAGCTGGTTACAGCAGCAATCTACCAGCCCCACCATCCCAATCTGATATGAGCATTGTGCACAGAATTCTGTTAGACTGCGCCCCTGAATCCCAGCTTCCCGACCAGGGTTCAGAGATAGGCAACCACTCCCTCTGAAGTAGCAGATTGTGAAGATCGCCCTTGCCTCAAATGGGTTGAGAAGCCAGAAATAGACAAATACAAAAAGCATGGGAAAAGGAAGAGTGAAAAAGGACAACATTGTTTCTATAAAACACACAGTAAGATCATTCATAAATGTCACGCGTCAAGAGTTGGACATCGGATTCCTCAAGCTTGCTCCATCGTTCAAAAAAAAAATCCATGATCTCAATGACACTTCCTGATTCCTCCATTCACTTAGTGCCCAAAAATCCATTGATCTCAGTTTTGATCATACTTTATGTCCAAATATCCATGTCCTCTGGGATAAAGATATCCACCAACTCATGACTCTGAGTGATGTCTCCTCACTCCAATCTGAAGTAGCCAGCCCGTTATCCTGAGAATACGTTCTTTTGTTCTGGACTCTCCAGCCACAGGAAAATGCCTCTCAGCATCTTACCTATCAAGGCCGCTCAGAATTTTGTTTCAATGAGATCATCTCCTATTTTTCTAAATTCTACAGAATGTGGACCCCATTAGCACAAATCTGTCATGATAGGACAGTCCTCTCATCATATGAATCAACTGCGTGGATCTTTGCTGCATCTACACTGTAAGGCAGCTATATTCCTTGGGTAAGGGGATCAAAGCTGTACACAATATTCTAGGTGTAGTCTCATCAAATACTTACCTGCAGTATGACTTCTCGCCTGTGGGTCTACAGGTATGATTCTTGCCCAGGGGAATACACTGAATGTGTATGTGAGAGGGCCCAAGTTGAAATCCCTGGTGAGCTGTTGAGTGCTACCACTTGTATATCAGGCAGTAAGAGCAGACAGGAAAAAGCAATTGAGGTAGCAGAGCTTCCTGTCTTTTTCGCTCCTTTTTACTAGTGGGAAATGGCCACTGTTCTCACCTGACCCTGTTAATTTTAGATCAAGATTCAATTCAGTCATTTGAACAATGACTGAAGAGAGCCAGCCCCTTTAAGCAGCTGCAATGGTCACAATAGAAAGGTGAATTTGCACTTAAGCACCACAGGCTGTAATCTGTGTGATGGATCCCACTCACCAAATACGATCAAGTACACGTCTACTCGGAGCCAACATTTCAAATCCGTGTCTGAGTTGTGAATCATTCTGGTCGTTCAGAGTATTTCAGTTCAAATTCTTCTTGAAAAAAAGTTATTACAGATTTCCCAGAGTGGTATTCATTTAAGCGGTCAATGCTGTCTGAACCTCTGCCAACTCTAAGTTTACTGGCAAAGGAGCTGCAGGGAATACAACTTGTCAGGATCGCTGAGATGACAGCAACATGTTGTTACAAAGGAAGATCAAGTCAACCTGCTGTTTAATTGACTTTATTTAAAGGTTGTGCTCACAGATTGTTTTCATTGGGTTGGTATGGGCATGATGTTAGATTTCAAAAAAACAAATCAAGTACAGTGACTTCATTTGGACACATCTCCATTCTCAAGATGAGCACAGATCAGTGCGGGTCAACAAGTTGTCCAGATCCTGCCAGCCACCACGTGCAGACAAGGGAAATAATGTTCATCATCCTGGGACATCATGGGAACAGCTAATTTTTCAGGTTATGCTCTACGACTGCTACATGATTAAAAGGCACAGCTGAGATGATCATTACTGCTGGTGACGCTTAAGCATTCAGGTACTTTGCATGATGCTTGATATGGTCTGTAATAAATGTCTCAATGAAGTAGTAGCCATGGTCATATCCCTGAAGGAAGCAAAATTGTTAAAATTCATTGAGAGATTGGAATGGGATAAAAATCACATTGTTTTGACTAATTCAAACCCTGGTCACACTTGCCTCCTGAAGCCGAAAAACAACAGGTATCTTCTTGTCAGTACAAGCTGTGATGAAGCTATCAGGGAGTAACTGTCCTGCAGCCAGGAACTGATCATCCTTCCCTTGGTCAATAAGTATATCCAGGAGAGGTCCTGAATAGGTTTTCACCAGGCAAGTGGCATCATAGGCCTATAGGAAATAGAGAAATTAATTCTGCAAGCCAGTCAAACAGAAATGGTTCATCTGCTTGTTTACAAACATCTTTGATGCTTACTCACACCTCTTAAGAGTAGGAAACTCAAATTAATCCATACAGATTGGCAATCATAGGGAATTCAAACACATGCCAAGAATTGTTTTCAGTCCCAACATCTTAGCTATTGGAAGAATGTAGTTTCCACATATTTACTAAGTGGCGCAGCAGGGTCAGTAGGGATCCCAGATCCCACAAAAAGTGTATTGTCATGGGATAGTCGACAGTCAGCCCCAAAACAGAATTAGCATTTTTCCATTGAGAACTGTTTTGGCAGCTTTGGGGAGTATATTGAGGATGCTAAAAAGAATTTGAAAAATAAAACATTGAGATCCTCGTTTAAAAGTGCCCCAACTTGTTAAAAGAAAATCACAAGTGAATTTAAAAATTAATCGTACTTTTCCTGCTAATATTGTAACCTTACCTCCCATTTGCTTTTATCAGAGCCAAGGTATCCAGTGAATGCTTTCTGGCCCCAAGGGCACTGCACAGGGTTGCAGATAGGAGCAAGTGCTGACACTGACTGCCCAGATGTTATCAGAGATTAAAAGCAGAAATAAAGAATTAATATATCATCTCACTTTTCAATATTGTTGCACACACATCTTACATAATGGAGAGAGTGATTCAGTTTACAAATTTCAGTGCTGCATCACTCACCATTAGATTGCTTCTCAAATTATGTACATTTAATGGGCAGAAATCAGTGTTTAACAAACGTAAAGAACACAGAAAATAAGTTGGTTAAATAAGGCTCACATTAATTGAGAATAAATACTTTTTAATACATAATTGCTGATATCAAATCTCTAGAATGTGGTGCAGGGAAGGGTAATTTAAAAATCCATTATGTTAGCTAGCCTTACAGCAATAAAAGATTTCTTTATGAGGCAGCAAGATCTGTAATGGGATGAAAATTTACAAACACACTCCAACCACTGATTCTAAGGCAGCCTGTGCCAGCCTCCAGCAGGGTTGGGCTAACCATGGCTGGTAGCACTCACTCGACTGAAGTGCTAAGCAATGACCACGTCCAAAAAGAGAAAGCCCAACCAGCAACAGCACAGAGTGCTCCACCTTCAATACTGTCAGCAGAGTGTCAACTCTGGTGAAAGAGAATCCTTGTATTGCCAGATATTTATTCAGGCAATTGCCATTCCCAGTGTGGCACTGGAATTTATAACAGAAATAGAGACAAACAACAACTGGATATTTGCCTTGAAAATGAATACTAAATAAAGTTTGCCTCTGTACAATTATTCTCAACTCATGATCCCTGTTTCAACTCAAAGTTGCGTTTGGTCTCAACTTCCGATGATAAGAAATTGATTAGTAAATTAAATGCATGTAATACACAATATATTTATACAGCTGTCTAGAAGTAGAGATATAGATAGGGATTTAGATGGATAGGCACAGGTAAATTATACATCAATGAAGAGATAAATCCTCTGCATGGTGACTCAGGTTAGTGTGATGGAAGTGTACTTCTCCAGCCTCTCAACATGATCCTTACTATTATATCATTCTGCTTAACATCTTCCACACCTTCTCCACGCCTCAACATCCTAACACAAAGGCTTTAAGTTTACGTTATTTATGTCTGTTGCTCTCCTCTTAAAGTAGCAACAAAATCATTTCATGAGAAGAGAAAGAAATCCAGTTATTTTTGGTACTTTTATTGTCTTTTCAAATTTTCCTAAATGACACTCCAAAGTACTTTGTTTTTAATCTTTTCACACATTTTTGCACCAACATATTGAAGAGATAAATACACAAGTTAGCAGAGATAACAAGGTGTAGAAGCTGGATGAACACAGCAGGCCAAGCAGCATCATAGGAGCAGAAAGGCTGACGTTTCGGGCCTAGACCCTTCATCAGAAATGAGGGAGGGGAAGGGGGTTCTGAAATAAATAGGGAGAGATGGGGAGGCGGATAGAAGATGGATAGAGAAGATAGGTGGAGAGGAAACAGACAGGTCAAAGAGGCAGGGATGGAGCCAGTAAAGGTGAGTGTAGGTGGGGAGGTAGAGAGGAGATAGGTCAGTCCAGGGAGGACGGACAGGTCAAGGGGGCGGGATGAGGTTAGTAGGCAGGAAATGGGGATAGGTGGGAGGAAGAACAGGTTAGGGAGGCGGGGACAAGCTGGGCTGGTTTTGGGATGCGGTAGGGGGAGGGGAGATTTTGAAGCTTGTGAAATCCACATTGATACCATTGGGCTGCAGGGTTCCCAAGCAGAATATGAGTTGCTGTTCCTGCAACC